GTTCGATCGGGACGGGAAAAAATTTATTATGTAATTACATCCAACGTATAAAATAATTAGAGTGTTAAAAAAAAACAAAAAACCCTCGAGATAATAATAATAATAATAATAATAATAATAATAATAGTAATGATAATAATTTTTTTAAATAATGAAACCTAATGTGATGTTAATACGTATTGCGTAAGACGTTTATACCGTAAAACAACAACCGCAACAACAAAAACAACCAAATCGAAAAAAAAAGACAACAACGAACGACATAAACGACAAACAAACAAACAAACAAACAAACGAACAAACGAACAAACGACAATTTCCTGTCGAACGATTTGTTTTATTTAACACCATTGTCGCCGATTAACGGTTTTTTTTTTTTTTGCTGTTGTCACCGATTAAAAAATTTTTTTTTTTTAATAATAAATCAATGATGATTTTTGCCTATCGAATTCTTATCAAAAAAAAAAAAAAAAAAGTTTAAAATGTACGAGAGAGAGAGAGAGAGATACACACACGCATACACACGACGACACTCATTCAACTTTTATTATTATTATTATTATTATTATTATTAAACACGAAGTTATCTCAAATGTCAAGGAAATACAAGGATAAATATGATTTCCCCCCAATAATAAATCCATCAGATTTCGGCCATAAAAAAAAAAAAAAAAATTTTTTTTCTCTCTCTCTCTCTCTCTATCTTTCTTTCTTTCTCTCTCTCTCCTTTCGACATTATTCTTATTCGTAACAACATTTTCTTGTTTTTTACCTAAAAAAAAAAAAAAAAAATTATGAATAATGATGATGACATCAATGTAATAAAACAAAACTGGGGCAGATATTAAACTCAGTCAGTCAGTCGTCTGACCGTGTCAAGTGTAAAAAGAGAGAGAGAGATAGAGAAAAAGAGATACGAACGTAAAAGAGAGAGAGAGATAGACGGGGGGGGGGGGAATGATAAAACAAACAAAAAAAAGACAAAAAAAAAAAAATAAATAATAATAATAATAAAAAATAATAAAAAATGAATTTCGTAACGTGATCCTAAAGATCACCGCCGGCGTTATGACAGCACTACAGGGGATATACATAAGACAAACGACAAACACAAACGTTAAACAGTAAACAATCCTACAAATTGGTAGCAGACACGTTTGTTTCGTTTCGTTTCGTTTCTTTCTTTCTAGTCTCAAACTACCAGAATTTCCCCCAAAAAAAAAAAAAAAAAAAAAGTTAAAAATAAAAACGAAAAAATGTTTTTTATTAATTTTTCTACCTTAATAATAATAATAATAATAATAATAAAATGGTTGTGGTCTACATTCTCCAGAGCATGGAACACATTCATGGAACCATGAGAAGAATTTTTAATGCAAAAAAAAAAAAAAAAAAAAAAAAAAAAAAGTAAAAAAAAAAAAAAAGACCCGAAAAATCAGTCGGCGGTAGCAGCGTGGGGTTCCAACCGAAAAATTGTAAAAATTATTTCCCGTCGGAAATTACGTGTGTGTGCGTGCGAGTGCGTGCGTGTGCGTGTGTGCGTGTAAAAAAAAAAAACCCCAGCAGAAGACGACGAAGACGACATCTTTGTCCTCCGTTTGAGTTTTTTTTTTTTTTTTTTTGTTAAACATAAAAAAAAAATCGTTTTAAAAAAAAAAACTAAACGCCCGTGACTTTATATTAATAATAATAATAATAATAATAATAATAATAATAATAATTTCTTATAGTCTATAAAATATCTGTAGAAATAATAATAATAATAATAAATTGGCGGGAAAAAAATAAATCAATGGCGAGTCATGTTGAAAAGATGCAGAAAAAAAAAAATTAATTCCAACGTTTCGGATTGTTATTATCTATTATCATTATCATTACGACGAAAAGGATTTATTTAATGAGTTTATTTATATACAGTTTACCGAAATTTAATTGTAATTATTTATTTTGATAATCATCTGTTATTATTATTATTATTATTATTATTATCATTATTATTATTGTTATTAATAGAAAGTTATAATTAAAATACACTGAACACGTAATAAATTTCGTTTTAGTTTTTTTAGTTTTTTTAGTTTTTTTTCCTCGTTTCCTCGAGTATTTATTATTATTATTATTATTATTATTATTATTTTTCGGAGGGGGGAGGAAGGGGAGTGGAGGAAGGAAGAGGCGAATACGACTATAAGCGCGCACGAGGAAATTATCAATCATAGAATAAATAAACCGTAATTAAAAACTTTGATTCTCCCGTAAAAAAAAAAAAAAACATTTTTCGAATTTACCAAATCCTGCGCGCGCACGCGTATGTTTCTCTATGACAATTTTCTATTTCCACGACATTTTTAATTATTCTCACGTACTAAGACATCCTCTCCTCTCCTTCCATCCCATCTCCCGCCGACTATTTATAAAAATAGATATAGATAACCCTTTCGTGTCGAACGATATGTAAATTTCCCACCCTCCTCCCCGGAAAAAAAAAAAAAACCTAACGTTAATTTTAATATTCATCTTTTTTCCCTCCCCTCCCCTCTCCTTTTTTTTTTTATTAAACGTTATAATTATCTTATTATTATCATCATCATCGATATCATCGTAATTATTATTATTATCATCATTAAAATAATAATATTTTAATTTTGAAAAATTTAATACGGCTACCTCCGACAAATAATAATAATTATTATTATTAAAAAAAAAAAAAAAAAAAACCATTGTAATAATAATAATAATAACAGACCAAAAAAGAAAAAAAAAAAATCTCATTACTTTTTACACGCACACGAACGCACAAACGCACGCACGAACGCACGCACGAACGCATTGAACGAGAGAATTAATTTATTTATATGTAATTAACGTAAAAGATGATATGTGATAATGATAATGATAATGCTAATGATAATAATACTAGGGGTCATCGAAATGAAGGAAGGAAGATCCATCGCGATGAAGATGGATTCGTTTTCACATTCGAAATATTATACGAGAATTTATACAATATAATATAATATAATTACGGTAATTTGCAAAAGAATAAAAAAAAAATGGCGGTACGCACGATAATGATAATAATAATAATAATGATAATTTTAATAAAGAAATCCATTTTATCATTTCCGTAATATCGATATATCGATCGATCGATCAATAAATTCACCACCCGAAAAAATTAATTTTTTTACGCACGAAAAAAAAAAACGTTAAAATGATTATTATTATTATTATTATTATTATTATTATTATTATTATTATTATTATTATTATTATTATTATTATTATTAATATTAATATTTCTTATTATCTTCATCATCATCATCATTATTATTTTTTGGAGAAGGGAACGATTTTTATAAAAATATCTGGAACAAACCCATGAAAAAAAAAAAAAAAGAAAAAAAATTTCACGTAAAGAAAAAAAATTTTTTTTTCTTTCATTTCGTTTCGTTTCATTTTATTCTATTTTATTTTATTTTTTCCTTTGTTGTGTTTGTTGTTGTTTTTGTTGTCGAGTGGTTGTTGTAACTAACAAACGGGAGGAGGGGAAAAAAAAAAAAAAAAACTCGGAGACGGACGAAAAATGTTACTTACATACAACCTGTCTTGTTTTCCCTTTTATTTTATTTTATTTTATTTTATTTTTTTTTTTTCCTTTTACCATTACAAAGGAATTTGTAAAGTTTTCGTTTACAATTACTCAGCACGAGTCCATGATTCTACGATGACGACTATGATGATGATGATGATAATAATAATAATAATAATAATAAGGGAGGAGGGAAGTAAGAAATAAGAAAGAAAAAAAAAAAAAAAAAAAAATGTAAATTTTTCATTTGACGTATATTACCCACGTTTATCCTACAGGAACCGTCATTACGTTTATAAAACCGCAACAGCATCCCCCCTTACCCTTTTCCCCACATCCCTTCCTCTACATCTCCCTCTTATAATACATATGTTTTTTTTTTTTTTTTTTTTTTTTGTTGAATAGATTTTTTCGCATTCACACACGAATAACTCATTCTCTCACCTTTTTTTTTTTTTTTTTCCTTTTTTCCTTTTTTTGGCTACTGCTACCTTTTGTCCCGCATTTAAAACCCCCCGTCGATTTCGGTCTTTATTGTCGTATTGGTTACATAATCCCCCCTTTCGCAAGTGAATATGAATGATTTCAAACCTCGTGGAATATACGAGTGGAAAGGTTTATGAACCGAAAAATACAAAATTTAAGGGCGAGAAAATTGTATTGATAAATAATAAACCCAAAAATGTTTTTTTTTTTTTTTTTCGGGGAACGAAACGACAAAAGAATTAAATAAAAAAAATGGCGGAAAGGGAAAAACGTAAATAAATAAATGTAATAAAATAACCGGAAAGGTATTCTCCAAAGGGGGAGAGGGAGGGAGGTCGGTAACGGGAGCGGAGGATGAAAGGGAAGTAAAAATAAGTAAAAGAAGAGAGAGAGAGAGAGATTATGAGAGATGAGGGCGGTTAAGATTTTATAATAACATTTTTTTTTTTTTTTTTTTTTTTTTAAAACCACGACATGATTGCTTTAAAACGCGTGGAAATAACGATGATGATAATAATAATAATAACAACGACAAAGAGAATAAAAAAAAAAGAAAATGGCGTGTAAAATCACAACCCCTCACTTGAAATTTTTTTCTTCTTCTTCTTTCATTTTTTATGGGTGCGTGCGTGCGCGTGTGCGTGTGAATGTGCGTATACGAATTCTCATGACATTGTTTTCTTCTTCTTTTGATCGTTATTAGCGCCGCCGCCGCCACCGCCACCTCAAAACGTTTAAAAATCGAACCGGAAATCGAGATTTTACATCGTTGTCCATGAATTCAACCATGGAAACTTTTTTTTTTTTTTTTTTTGGTAGAACGCACACGCACACACACGCACGCACACGCACACTTGCACGCAAGTGAAATACGATACATATACACGTAATAATAATTTTTTTTCCCTTTTTTCCTTTTAGAATGTTTGTGATGAAGAGATGCGCTCGATGTCAAGCCGCCATATCATCATCGGAACTCGTTATGAGAGCGAGAGATTTCGTTTTTCACGTTCACTGTTTCACTTGTACCGTGTGCAATTCGACACTCACAAAAGGTGACCATTTCGGACTTCGTGACGGTGCCATTTACTGTCGCACTCACTACGATCTCGGAGATCAATCATCCGAAATTACGGAATCATCATCATCAGCATCTTCGCAAAATTTATTCTCACATTTTTCAACTTCCTCTTTTCCATCACCCGAATTTTCTCATTCCCACAACGACAACAATTCGTCACCTCCGATTCCTCTCCCACCACCTGGTCCATCACCACCCGATTCGGATAACGTGATTGGAGGAGGATCCCATAAAATTAATTTTTTCAATGGTGCTCCGACTCCTACGACTCCGAGACAAAAAGGAAGGCCGAGAAAAAGGAAACCGAAAGATTTAGAAGCCATGACTGCTAATTTAGGTAAGTTAACAAAATCATTTTCACAAAAAAAATTTTTTTTCCAAACAAACAAACGAACAAACAATTTTTTTTTCTTTTTTTTTTTTTACGACTTCCGGTTTCCAACCACTAAATGCCAACATTTAAATTGTAATTTTTTTTTTTTTTTTTTTTACATTATTTTATTTTATTTTATCACACAACACAAACAAACGGTAGTCGTATATTTTCATTACAAACAAACAAACAAACAAACGAAACGACATAAATTCAAAATTTAAATAATAATAATAATTAAACATGGCGGTTTTTTATCGACGACAACGACATCAACGACGACGACAACTTTCAATTAAAAGTCGTTAAAAAAAAAAAAAAATTTAAATTTTTCCCGGTTCGGTTTTTTTTTTTTTTTTTTTTCCCTTTATAAAATTTGGTAAATTATTTACATGAAATGTGATCTTTCCCCGATCTTTTTAGAACCTTTTTTTTTTTTTTTTTTTTTAAGGGGAAAAAAATTTATTATTTTTATTTTCCTCCTCCTTTTTTTTTTTGTCATTTCCTCCGCGGTCGGGAAAGAAAAATAAAAAAAAAAAAAAAAAAAACTCGAATTCGCGGGTAGGAAAACAAACGGGGGGGGGAAAAAACGAAAAAAAAAACGTTCCAAATAAATGCGGGAGTACGGGGCAGAAGAAAAAAAAAAAAAAGAAACGTGGAAAGAGAGAGAGAGAGAGAGAGAGAAAAAAACAAGCAGAATACATTTTTTTTTTTTTTTTTTTTTTTTTTTTTTGTTAATCAAAGAAGATCCCGAAAAAGGATTGTTAACTCAAAATAAAATGACTATACTCGGGTGCAATTAAATGGTGGGATATAATAAAACGATGAAAATTTTTCAAAGTGGACATTTTACAACTTGTGGAAGGCAATTTAATAATAATAATAATAATAATAATAATAATAATAATAATAATAATAATAATAATAATAATAATAATAATGATAATAATGATAATAATGATAATAAACAATGGTCAAACGAAAAATAGTTTTACGCCGAATTGTAAAAAAAAAAAAAAAAAAAAAAACGGGATGGACGTGGCCGTGACGGGGGGCGACGGTGGCGGTGGTGGTGATGGTGGTGGGGGGGTAGATCGCGATGTACAGGATGCCGGACGGACGGACGGGTGTGTGTGTGAGAGAGAGAGAGAGAGAGAGAGAGAGGAGCTCCTCTCGGCGCCAACTTCTTCATCATTTCGAATTTTTTTTTCTTTTTTTTTTTTTTTATGGAGAGTAAAAAACAACAAAAATAATAATAATAATATAAACTACCGGTCGATTTTTTTTCCCTTTTTTTTTATTATTATTATTTTCAAGTCCGGTACAAAAAAAAAAGTAACGACTGACGCGATGATGATAATAATAATAATAATGATATAAAAAAGAAAAAAAAATTTTTTTTTTTTTTACGATTCGAATAATTAAAATTTTCATCCCTTTTTCATCATCCCTTTTCATCTTGATTTGTTAAGTTTTTTCTTTTTTTTTTTATATAAATTTTTACTTTTCAATAAAAACAACAACAACAACAACCTTTTTTACACCTTTTATTATTTTATTTCCCATTTTTTTATTTTTATTTAAAAATAGAAAAAATTAAACCTTTTTCTCAAAACGCGCGTCGAATAAAAAAAAAAAACCATAGAGATAAAACCATAGAGATAAAATCATAGAGAGTAACATCAACAACAACAACAAAACAAAAACAATAATAAAAATTTTTTTTCGTTTTATTGTTAACGAATCGATTATTTGAAAATAATAATAATAAGAACGAACGCAAAACAACAACAACAACAACAACAAACGACGCCAAAATAATAATAATAATAATAATAATAATAATAATAATAATAATAATAATAATAATAATAATAATAAACGGTCGAAAAGGTTATTAAACTTGGCCCATTTAAAAGAAAATTTTTTTTTTTTTACGACAAAATGATGATAATAAGAATTTGATAACCGATTTGTCGCGACGTTTTTTTTGCCAACAAAAAAAAAAAAATTCCCCTTCCGTTTAATGAGAACGTTAACGACAAAAAAAAAAACATAAAAACATAAAAATAATAATGATGATGATGATGAGTATTTCCCCCTCCTCCCCCCACCTCTCACCCATCATTTAAAAAACTTAATTAAAAAATAAATAAATAAATAAATAAGTAAATAATTATGTTTACTATTATTAATACTTTAAATAGAAAAAATAATAATAATAATAATAAATAAAATTAGTAATAATAATAATAATAATAATAATAATAATAATAATAATAATAATCAATATTAATAACGATCGGATTTGAAAATAAATAAATAAGTTATTCATTGAGTTTTTTTTCTCTCTTTAACTGAGATTTCGTGATCACGATCATTTTATCCGGAGGCTTTGATTTAACAAAATAAGGTCTTAACCTTTTTTTTTTAAATTATTGTTCAATCTCTCTCTCTCTCTCTCTCTTTCTCTCTCACTCTCTTCCCCTCTTCCCCCCCTCTCTCTCTCTCTGTCTCTCTGTCTCGCTAGTCTACTCATTTATTATTTTATTTATTTATTTATTTTATTTTATTTTTATATTTCATTTTATTTATTATTTTTCAATCAATTATTTTCACGTCTATCAAAATTTGACACGTACCTGCCGAAAATAAAATAAATAATAATAATAATGATGATGATAATAATGATAATAATAATAAATGAAAAAGGAAAATGAAAAAAAAAAAAAAAAGGTTACGCGACGACTGAAAAAAAAAAAACCTATTAAAGTTATTTATTTATTTTTTTTTTTTTGAAGGGGGGAAAAAGAAAAGAGAAAGAGAGAAAAACTCAATTATAGTCTTTAACAAGGAGATAAAAAAAAGATGAAAGAATGAAAGAAAGAAAGAATGGAAAAGAGATAAAAAATAAAAAAAATAAAACGAATAGATAGATAGATGGATAGATAGATAAATAGATAGATAAAAATTATTAACAAATAAAATTGACAAGAAATAATAAATAATGAATTACCGGTGAACCTTATAATTTTTATTTATTTATTTTTATTTTTTTTTTTTTCGTGTCTTCTGCTTCTTTTTTTTTTTTTACTCTCGTCTTCTGCTTTTTTTTTCTAACCTCAACCTCCCTCCC